CCAAGCATGTAAGCCTTTGCCTGTTGCCAGGAGAAGGCATGGACAACTGAAGGCAAGTGAGTCTCTCAGATAACTGTACAGGAGGAGCTGCGGTTGTGGGTTGGGAGCTGATCCATGAATGTGTGCAGGTATTTGCTAGGTCAAGTTAACCCCTGCTAGGTCAGGTTAACCCCATGCCAATCTAAAGTTAGTTCACCTCTGACCAGAAATAACTTGAGATAAGGCGTGTCATTTTTACGGCAAGTTAAGCCCTGCGAACATTTGTGTACCAAGCCATTTAGATTGCTCTAACCTTGCTTAGGGCAATCAAAATGTAACACTTGTACATTCCCTAAGTGAGTGAGTGTTGAGAGTTTCTTTTTCCCAATTGAATAAATGTGCTTTGATTTAGGCTGCCAAAATGGATGCTTAAATGGAAGTCTGCCTCATCAACATATTTTCCCATATGTGCTTAAAAGTAGCTATTTTAACAAGTATTTTTTGTTATTATTGTGCTAGAATATTTGTGAAAAATAAAGCATAAAAAGGTGCATGGATACAATCAGAGCTAATTTCTCTAATTCTCCCTGGGTGTATGTAGTTCTAATGTATTTATCTTAGTAATATCCAGACACTATATAATACTGAATTTTGTGACATCATGCCCATCTCAAGCAGATAACAATCTCATAGGCATGAAATTATGCCTAAAGGATCAGGGAATAAGGGAGGCTGCTTTGACTAAAAGCCCTTATTAAAAGAAAATATCTGAAATAATAGGACAGAGAACAAGAAAAAAAAAATATCCACTAGGTAAAGGTCTTTCTGTACAAAATGTTCTTTTTTTCCTCCCAAGCTTGCTATTGCATGTAAATTGTTCTTTAAGGACCTATTTTCTATTATACCAGCTAAAATAAGCCGGGCAGTTAGTCAACAGAATATGCTGCCCACTTTGCGAGATCTTTCATAATTTATGTCTAACCTGGATAGGAAAAGCCCTTATAAATTTCAACAAATGTCTCATTAATTAACACCCCTTCTCCCTAAGCCTCAGAGCAGCTGGTGAGAAGAATTGTGTAGGTTGATTCTGTAGATACAAACTAGGTCAACAAAAAGGATCCATACTCATTCTTGCAGATTGATATCCCTCTGGAAGTTATTAATAGTTGTTTCTTGGGTGTTTCAGCATAGCCTCAAGACTACTGAAAGTCAACTATGTAAAGCTTCTATACCTATGCACTTTGATTTTCATGTTGCAAAAAGGCTTTGATACAATCTGGTCTAATGGGCCAAATCCTGAAGTCCTAATTCAGTGCTTGATTCAGTCCATATTCTATCTAGTAAAATGGGAGCCTCTCTGTAGATTTAAGTTGGCTTTGTGTTGGGGCCTTTTTCTAATCACGCCTTGATGAAGTAAATTGATTGTTTAAGTGGTGACACTTCATTAGTGATCCCATATATTTATGGGCATTTTAAAGTCCTTGTTTACTATTTGCTCATTCCTTATTGAGACAAACTCTCATTGGCATCTTGATAAGCTGCCAATGAAGCAAGCATCTCTGTTCACAGCCAAACATTCCTTATTGAATAAAACAACCTGACTTGAATGAAATGTATTATTTACATAACCATGAATGATGCTTCACAGAGTGAAAATTTATATATATATAAGAATGATCCCCTATGAGCTGATGATACTTTGGGCCAACTCTGAGGGGTGCACACAGAATGTGAAAATCAGGAGAGAAAGAAAAATGCTGGAGGAATATTTTATTCATCTTGTTTGCAGAAATGCATGCTGCAATCACTTGAAAAGACAAGTAGCATTACCCTGTTAATGTCAATTTGTAACATATCAGGGTCAGGTAGAGGTGTAATGTAGGTCACGGGTGGAAAGGCAGCCAAAAGAGCCGAGGTTTTAGGAATGATCTGATGGTAAGAGGCGGCAGGACCCAGAAGGAGGAAAATGACTCCTTAGGCAGCAGTTTGAAAAATGATGTGGACTTGTGAGTGAGAGGAGGAAAGAAATGAGAGGATGAGGTGTTAGGAGGAGACGAAAGCAAAGAAGCAAGCAGGTGCAAAGTTATGAAGAACCTCGAAGAGAATAATCTTGGCTCTCCTGAAGTCAATGGGATTTTTGCCATTGACTTCAATGGGGTCAAGATATCACCCAGGGAGTATTAATACAATGTGGAAAGAGACAGTGGAGAGAATAGGACCTACATGGTCATAGTGTACGGCATGAACATATTGATGAATACGACTGTCTTATTTTACTGCTGTTTATGAAACATAGAGACTATAGGAACTTCAAGAATACTAATATATCATCTCATTAACTAATGCACTGGCCCTCAAAATGAGAGGTATTTTTCTCTGTGATTTTGAATGAGTATTGCTCTGGTCATAGAACAGAACTATCAGAAAGTTCAAGTCAACATAGTAATGGGAAAAAACCTCAGAACCAATATCATAATGCCAAATAAACATGTTGGACTATGTGACCTTAAGTGAATGGCGGTGTTCAGTTATAGATAAATAATTAATTGTAAGCAGGGAATGTAATTGTCTTTTCTGAATTAAGTTATGAAGACCTTTTTGTTCCAGATAAGGCACATTTACTCTCAAGTAACATCTTTATGAGAATTTCTCTGAGAACGTGCTTACAAAATACTCACTGTTTCTTCAGCAACTTTCTGCACCAGCCTACCAGTGTCATAAAAGCCTGTAGAAAAAGTGCAAGCATTTGCTGCTGCTTATGCATCTCTGCTATACCATAGTTCAGGGGTGGGCAAAATGCGGCCCAGGGGCTGGATGCGGCCCGCTAGGCCTTTCTACCCAGCCCGCGGGCCCCTAAAATTTCAGAAAATTAATATTTATCTGCCCCGGCTGCCTGTTATGCGGCCCTCAATGGCTTGCCAAAACTCAGTAAGTGGCCCTCTGCCCAAAATAATAGCCCGCCCCTGCCATAGTTAGACTATAAGTGCAAATCTACCCTGCCTTCTGCCTGACTTCTGCCTAATATTGGTAAACAACCTCTCCCCGCTGCTTTACTTGCCAAGCACCTAGTGCTAAGACTAGTCTGATAAGAATTATCACAATACTTTAACTTCATCTAACCCCACCATGTCAGTCACTGTAGAGAGAGAGCTATGTAATGTAGGGTGAGAAATCAATGGGGTTGCTTGCCACGCTTCAGCATGCCACTGCATATGTACTTAGGACAAAACCAATGGAAAGACTTTAATGAGTCAGTGATCAGACCCTTAAATCATATCCAAACAGCTGAATCTGCCACTGCTTTAAAGATGCACAAGTCACCTGGCATTCCCCAAAGCCCAGCTGCCTCCCTACAACACCTGTCTGACAAGACTACAGAATATAATGCATCAGCTTTGCAGTGTCTTAAAAAGGCTGTGAGCATCAGGTTGTTACCTAGCTCTGCTGCGGCAGAGATAGTCAGTACATGGGACTACTCAAAAATCCATAATCAGGGATGGTGCTGTGATAAGAAATGCAAGTATCCCATCTGGCCAAACAGGGTAACTCTCAAGACATTAGCCAACTGCTATGCTATTGCTTTTCTACAGTCTGAGTCATCACACATTCCGCTGGGTTTTCAGTGATTGACAGGGGGAAAAAAGCTAAGAGAAGCAGCTATTTCTTTACACTTAGCTGGTTTGTCAGGGCATTTGAAAACTTCTGGATGAAGGCGAAAACGCTTAAGGATTAAGTGGAGGGGTAGGAGGGCCGAATCAAAACAGCCTAGTGCTGTGAATTTTGAAGTCAAAGAGGTGCACTCAAAAGTGTTAGCAAGACCTTTACAAATGCATTGTATTTAATCCACAGTATTATTTAGTGGTTTAGAGAGAAAAAAGGACCATCTGATGGTTTCCTCCAGCCACTGCCATATCCTTTCAGGGGTTCAAAACACGTAGCCTGCGTCTGACAAGGAGACGTTCCACAGAGTCTAGGGTCAGACATGCCCCAGATGCCCAGTCAATGCACATGACAGTAGGCCAGACTTCACCAATAGGACCCTGCAATGACTCACTATAGTTCATAGGGGCATGAGGGAGAGGAATGGATAGGACCCGGACAATAGGAAAAACTTCTTCATGGTAAGGGTGGCCAAAATTTGGGATGGGCTTCCAAGGGAGGTGGTGCTCTCCCCTACCTTGGGGGTCTTTAAGAGGAGATTGGATAGACATCTGGCTGGGGTCATCTGACCCCAGAGCTCTTTCCTGTCTAGGCAGGGGGTTGGACTCGCTGATCTGTTGAGGTCCCTTCCAACCCTAGCATCTATGAATCTATGACAGCAAGACAAGGCTGATGTAAACTGCTGAATGGTTTTAGAGCAATAGTTCTCAAGCTTTTCAGAGTCTCTCCACAACTTCTTTTGAACGTGGTGGCATCTCCAATTGAGATGAGAGCCACTGTTGTGCTCAGCTTACTTTAGGCGCTCAGCCAGATGCTGCTACCTCCAACTAAACCTGTCCCACGTGCCTGCGGCACAGAGAGACTGGGAAGGGCTGTGGTACGCATGCAAACTCCTCCAGCATTAGGGTGCTCTGATCAGCCCCAAACAGGCAGGAGAGCCTGCTTATGCCATTGCCTTTCCCTGTCTAACCCTGCATGGTGTCTTGCGGAAACAGAGGCAGGTGAGCTGGGAGCAGCATGGGTGAGGGGAGTGGACCACAAAGAGCTACAGCCCAAGCCAGCTCTTCTGCCTCCTTTAGTATCATCGGAGAGGCCTAATGCAGGAGCTGTTTTACCCGCCTACCACCTCAGCACCCACAGTGCTTGAATTACAACCCCTTGACAGGCTTTGCCAGCACCCAAGACTGCTGTGTCATCCCAGGTGTGAACACCTGCACTGGGGTAAGGTTTGTATTGTGATGAAAGTCCAGAAAACTTTGATTCTGTTCATAAATTGGCTACAGACATCCTTTGAGGCTTTGAGCACTTGTTCCTTTATGCCTCAGTTTCCACACCTGTGATACTGGTGGGCCAGTACTTACCTAGCAGGATTAAATGATGAATATATGTAAAGCAAATTGCTCTTCTGTTGTTGTTTTCCATCCAACAGCCTTACAGCATTACGATGAGACACTATAATTCTTCTTATGTGCCATGTCTGATTTTTTTTTTCCCCTTCATTTCCAATTCAGCCAATCTTCATACCTTTAAAGCAACAAATAAATACACTAAGAAGGAACACATTTTAGCCATTTAAGAATTGTCATGGAAGGTTAAAAAATAAAGGAAGAACAATTATTTTTCTCTGGTTGGAGTAATATGACTGCAAACATGTTGAAGTAAACTGCAAATGATGTCAGCCTTGTCAATAATTACCTTACAACAGCTTACAAAAAAAAGTGAATGCACATAAAATATCTGTGTTTGACAGCTTGCTAGCTAATTTCATCATTTCTATGGGGAAAAGAAAAGCATGGAGAAGATCTGAAATGCTCAACCTTTCAGGATGTACAGGAAAGTCTTGGCAGGTGGCAGAAGAAGTAGAGGGGAAAAAAAACACATTTTCAATTAACCATGGAAACTCTAAAGACCATAGGAAAAAAATGGAGGAAGTTCTTCAAATGCTTGAAAAAAAGTCCAGTAAAATAAAATGGTCACAAAAGACGGGGTGGTGGGAAGCCATCCACATTAATATGTGAATTTTTGAACAGGTCATGCAGGGACTTTTTGAACTTGGAGCTTCATAGAACAACTTTATTCATGCATTTGTTCCTAAATGCAGCTCTCCCCTTGACATTTGCTATCATGAATAAGTACCATATGCTTTGGTGGTGATTGAAAATGCAGTCACATTTATATTAGCATCAAAATCATAACTTTGGTGATCCTATTTTAAGATTTGCACATAGAAAGATTCCTCCCCCCCTCCCCTCCCCCACACCCATACTTTACAAACCCATATCCAGCCATTACAGTATCTGTGGTTGCAATGTAGCCATTTCTGGGGTAAAAGACAGAAGATACTTAGTCCAAGCCCTGCAATTTCGGACAAGAAAGCAAAGAACAATAAAATAGCATTTGTAAGCATAGGAGGTATTTCCATTCCTAAATAACACACCTGCCCTCCATTTGTTTTGTTCCCTAGAAGGAACAAATGGAGAGCTGCACAATGAAGCACTCTTAATATACAGCATAACATCTGTTCAGTGGGATGCCACCTTGAGAAGCAAAATAATCCAGCAGTGCCCCAAAGCTAGAAAAAGTCATAAGTGGCAATAGATCCGCTTTACTCTGGGATGGTTCTCCCACCTGCAGAAATGTTCAGATGTTTTTCGGCTATACCCAGTCAATCTCTATTCCGGTGCAAGTAATACTTGACCATTAAATCAGTGTTTTTGTCTCTTCTAGCACTGATTACTGCATAAAATTCTTCTTGAAACACTTGAAGACCACTTTGTAACTCAGATGTTAAAGAGTATGGCTGTTGACCTTTTACAGGCGGTATTAGTCACAGGGAACATATCACACTAGTTCTTCAGGAACTACACAGGTTTCCTCTTTGGTTCTGGGCACCATCCAACATGCTGACCTTTATCTTTAAAGCCTTGTATGGCTTGGGTCCCAGATTCTTGAATGAGCTGCCTCTAACTCCATCTGCTGTCCTGGGAGTAGAGGAGAGCTAGGCTTTAAACATCTGCAGTCTGGAGTCTGCAAGGTATAGTCTGACCTGATCATTTATACAGGTGGAAGGGAGCTCAAAATCTACCCCATGGGTTTCGTATAAGAGGTTTCTTGCCTCTGTAATTCTCTTCCATCATAATCCAATAGAGCCTGATAACTTGACTCTGGTCTTCCAAAGGTTGGCATGTATGCAATTGCAGTGGCCTTATTCCCAATTAACGCCAGTGCATAAGTAAGACTTGGATCAGGTCTAGCAACTGCTGACCTTTTCCTTCAGCTCAAGCATTCATTTGAGGAAAGGGAAGTGAATCGTACACGTGGACAGGAAATTCTTCAGCTTTGGGGCTGTTCCTTTGCTTTTGACCAATATGGTTTGGATTTCAATATACCAAAGAGCAAACATTTCTATGTGTGTTATGGGTAAGGATTGTAGTTTGCTCTTCTAATTTGGCACAATAAATGCACCGCTGGATACAGGCTATATCACCAGGACATATTACCCGAATGAGAACTGAAGTAAATGTTTTACCCATCATATGGGTGTGATTTATCAGCTAGTCAGTCTTTACAGCAACCCTGGAAAGTTCATTTAGGTTAGCATTATAAAACACTATTTACAGGTAGCCCGATTTGGCTGCATACTGCATGCTTTTGAATGGGACCTGCGCTCAGTCTGGGGTTTTTTGTTTTTTTGTTGTTTTGTAACTTTTTTTTCGGGACCCACAAAATATTACCGGGTTCACCTCGTGTGATTTAGGAGTGTAATTAGCTAGCTATACCCACATGTAAGGTTCTTAGTCATTTTCACTTCTCTCTCCCTTTTTTTTGTTTCCTCCCAGGACATTAATTGCACATGCACTTAATTTCAGGTACAAAATTGCCTCCGTAATTAAGTGTAACTTTGATGAAAGGCTAGAATTTTAAAATGCGTTTCTCCTGTCCAAATCCACAAAAAAATACATTAGTGGTACTTTTGTTTCTGAGGTTTCTTAACAAGCATGCCATACGATAGCCCTTTCTAACTCAGTGTTGCATTTCTTGGATTAAACAATGTGTTTCAGTCAGAAACGGCACAGTAGGAAATTAAAGCATGTTGATAGATTGGAAAGTTATTAAGCTTCCTTACAGTGTTAAACAAGGATTTACAAGAATTTGCTCTCCAGATTTATCAGGGATATATTTACAGTACTTGAGTGTGAATATTACTCATTGGAGATATTTAGTCACATACTGTATCTCTCTGAAGGGAAACCATATTGCAATAAATGTCTCCACCATGGTCTCTAATTTAAAAGATAAATCTTTGAGTGCTGTTTAGTCACATATTGATACAGAGCATCTATTATTTGGGGGATTATAAGAAGATTTTCATCTCTGTAATATTAATTTCTAAGCTATCATCATGGGTTTCTGGAGCAACTATCTTTCATCATCATCACTTAGGCCACCCAAAAATTGTTGAATTTCCTAATGTACAGTGCCAGGTTATACTACTGAAGTGGAGAAGGCAAATCCTACTTATATTAAGTGGTTTGATGTGGGGAAAAACTAGTAGCACACGCCAGAAAGTTCTATGTTTTTGTGTGGCTTTTTCCATTGCCTCACTTTGGGGCCTTGGGTAAAGCATTTTCTCTCCCTGTGTTTCAGTTTCTACATCTGACAAATGGAGGTACTCATTTTTATCTTCTCAGGGACATTGCCAAGCACTGTGCTTCCCCAAAAATCATTATTATTTATTCCTATTTCCATTGAAATTGAGCCCAAAAGTTCAGATCCAGCCACCTAACTTGCATTGATTTCAAATACCTAAATATCTTTGCAGATCTGAGCAAGCATTCCCTGAAAGTCACTGGTCCTGCGTTGCCATCCTGAAGAGCTTGCATGTGTCATACAAGGGGGTGAAGTGAGCGGGGTAGAATTATAACTTAACAAAGGTACTGTTATCATCAGTGAGAAGGCTTAAAGGAGGTTTGATCATGGCTTATAACTATCTACACAAGGAAGAGATATGGAGACTTTAATCTGATACTTAAATCCGTAAGGCCTGAGAGCTGGAAGTGGAAGGTAGAAAAAAAGAAATCAAACTGAAAATAAGGAACAGATTTTTTTAACAACGAAGGAAATGAACAATTAAAACAGCTAGCTTACCAAACACTCGGGTAGATCCCCTGAGACTCGAAGTTCTTTAAATCATGATTGGGCGTGATGTTTTCAAAATCATACATAGGACCTGGGAGCTAAAATCCCATTGTAAATTCCTTAGTTACTTCTTGTTATCGATGAAATTGATGATTATAGATGAAATATGTACCAGTCATCTTCACCAATACTAACCACATCCATAACTGTAGGAATTACAATTTATTGCCCTGCAGTTTTCCTAAGGTGGATATTTTCCCCCCTCTCATGCAACCACAGAGCCACAGAGAAACTCTTCCTGTAATCCTGGAAACCTTGAGATTCTCAGACCTCATTATGCAAGGCTCACCCACACAGACAGCATCATTTATTTCTCTCCAATATGAGGGACAAATTTAGTGTTTCTGGAGGGTGAAGATGCAAGGTCTTGATTTATGTGCAAAAGAGGTGCAACAAAGGCACTACTAGAGTACCCTGTTCCTCCTAGCATGTCCTCCTAGCATGCCTCATCTGGAAGCCGGAAGGTTAAACAGTACTTCTGCTTGCCTTTTCAGTATTGGTCTCATTAAGGTAAAAGCTAACAGAAGACATAATTACAAAGAAAAAATTTCTGTGCACAATATGATCAGTTGTCTGGTAGTAATTGATAAAGGACAAGCCATTAATTTCTCTTATAGGAGACTAGGTTTAACCCAAAACCCAATGAAATAAATGGCAACACTCCCATTCTCTCAATGTGGTCTAGTTTATACTCTGTGTTCCTATATAACCAAAGAAGGAGCCCATGTTCCCTGGCTGGCTGGTCTGCAGGACAAGTTCATTGTGTTTTTATCCATGTTTGCCCTTGTCCTTTTGGTTCTCAAACACAGACTCCGTGACCTGATTGTGCACTGGGGTTTTCCCCACTTCTCTGCTTGCTGAGGCCAGTTCTGAACTTGCTACCACTTACATACAAATACATGCAGCTGCTTCACTTAAGCGTCTGGCCCCATTTGAGCTAGAAAATTTTGATTACAACTGAGCTGGGCTGCATACACACTAATAACCCCGGGGTCGCAGACTGCTGAGAGACAAACAATTTGTGAAAAATCATAAACCGACGCATTGCTGTCAGTTGCCCTTGGAGCAAAGGGATCCTGTCTGGATCTCCTTGGATATAGAGGGAATAGAAGACCTTAAACCTTTAGTTTCCTGTGGTCCCTCAGCCCCCAGATAAATTAAAATATTTAATCAAAATCAAATGGCAGTGATCTTGTTTGTACAAATGCTTTATTATCTTGTGCATTTTAACCACAATCTGCCTGGTTCTTAATGTGACCTAAAGAACCAGTCGGCATTTATTACAAATGCAAGGCAGTAAGCTTCTGGCTCAGCAATTAATCACT